TCCAAGTATTTGTTCTAGAAGTACTGAGTTTGAGTGTTCACCAAGTGACAGCCCCCTTATACTTGCTACTGAGGAACACAAAGATGATTATGAGGTACTGATTTCCTTAATTTTGATGAGGGGTCAGGTGAGACAGTCCAACATGTCACTAATTATAATGTAATATCATAAGAATTAGAGATGTGTCTAAGTATGGGGGAGCCCAGAGTAAGTGATAATTTCTAATTTAAAGATGAGAATGATTTCACAGAATGAGTAATACTTTATGTGGATCTGAATGAAAGCTTAGGATTTTACCCCACGGAGTAGGGAAGGTAACAGTGTTGCAAAAATTGCTCAAATAAAGGTACAGAAGCATGGGCACCATGAGCTGGTTGCAGTGCTCTAAGTGGTTCTGTTGTATGGGCCTTAGAGCTAGGAGTGGGAGAAGCCCAAGGAGGTGGTGTGAAAAAAGCCATGCATTGCATGCTGATGAGTTTGGACTATATCTCATAGACAAATCAGAGGAATAAAATCAATCAGATTTGTGTGTTAGGAAAAAACTGTACTAATCACAAGCATACAAATATATCCTTGGCCTTGAATTTAATACATTACAAAGTAGTTCATTACAATTTAATAATGGGGATGAAAAAATAACATGAGATTTTTTAATTTATAAGAAGGATAAAAATAATTATTTACATTTTTTTGCAACATCCCAGATATGGAAACAACCTAAGTATCCATCAGTGGATAAATGAATAAAGAAATTGTGGTATATACATCCATACACACACACACACACACACACACACACACACAGTGGCATACTTTTTAGCCATAAAAAAGAATGAAACCTTGCCATTTACAACAGCATGGATTGACCTTGAGGGCATTATGCTTAAGTGAAATAACCTACAGAGAAAGACAAATACCATATGATCTATTTTATATGTGGAATCAAGAAAAAAAGAAAACAAATCAAGTTCATAGATAACAGAACAGCTTGGTTGTTACGGAGGTGGAGGGTGGGAAAATGGATGAAAGGAGGAACAAAGGTGAACAGAAAAAAATTAAAAATGGAATAATAAAATTAAAAGTTATATAAAGAATAAAAATAATACAAGTTAGGTGGGTATTCAGAAACTGGAGAAAACTTACATGACTGAGGGGAATCAGGAGAAATATTCAGGAAAGATACTGTCACATTTGAACTGGGCCTTGAATTGTGAGGAGTGTTTAACATGTAGAGAAGGGTGGAGAAGGGCCATCTAGCTGGAAGAACCAGCAGTAACCAAAACCTCAGCAAGTTGATGAGAGAAATTGACAGGAGCAATGGGTGTGGAGGGGCGTGGACTTGAAGGCTCAAAAGCTAAAGTCAGGAGAGGACAAGGAGGTCCTTTATCCAAGTTAAGTAGCTTGAGCTTCATTTGACAGAGACATTTGAGGCGAATGTGATCAGAGGTAGGATTCAAGATGGTTGGTCTATAAATAACGTCCAGGACACATGGTTGGGGAAAGAGGAGCAGTATTTCAGGCAAGAGATGAAGTCCTGAGCAGGGATCATGACAGTGAGTTTCACAGGAAATGAACAAAGGAGACACCATAGAGGAAGAATCAGTAGGGCTCTAGAGAGCATCAAAGAATAGTGGTTCCTACAATAGAAACAGGGAAGGTGAGAAGAAAAGCTCCAAGGAGAGAAGAGTTTCTTAGAACATGGATGGGATGACTCTATGATTCGTTTAAAACCCCTAGCTAGGAAGGTCCAGAAGAGAGCTGGTAATGGTGGGACCAGAAGTTTCAGAAAGAGCATGGATGGAAGTTTCACACATAGAGACAAAAGGTGACATCATAGGAGGGAAGGCTCTTTTCTCAAGTGGAAATATCTAGGAATCTATGGTGTGAGAGAAGGAGAATGTTGGGGAATAATTGTAGATAAAGAATAAGGAAAATCATTGAAAAAGCCACCAGCAATGGAACCAGGGAATCTATAGAAATAGGTAAGCAAAACAGGTTATTTCAGGGACCTATAAAATGGGATGTGTGTCGCCAGAGCCAGGAAGAAGTAAATACAACAGAGGAACAGGGAGGCTCAACCATTTGGAAGGCTCCTGTGAGACAGTGAGGTGTTTAGGGGTTTTACTGCATTCAAATCCTAGCTCAATGTTCATTATTGCCTTGGGGTTTATTTCTTTAACCTCTGTAACTTCAACTTTCTTACCAGAATAAAATATCAACCTTGTAGGGTATTTGTGAGAACAAAATGAGCTAATATTACTTACTTCGTGCATCTCTGGGAAAGCGGGGCAGGCACATCCATGCTGGTCTATAAAGGACCAGAGAGAGGGCACCAGCTTGGGGGAGTTTATGGTGCTTAGGAGGCAGGGCTCAAGGTGAGGGTTCCCACACGCATGCGCATGGATTCCCTGTTCGGACTTCCCACTCAAGCAGAAAAAGGGAGGATTCAGGCTTTCTTATCAGGTTACCAGATGGGGCGCAGAAAGGAAGGAGGTTAGGGTGAGGCTTGAAAGCTGTCAGTAGTCAAGCAGTAAACAGTAGAGTCAGGCACTTACAAGGTGTTTCCCTAAATCTCCCTTAGCCGGGCCCCAGAAATGCCCACGGCCACTCCAGCACCACCCACCAAAGGGGAAATGTCATGGAAGGGGAGCCAGAGTAGAAAGAGACATAGGTAAATGTGGTCTCAATACTTTGCAGGGGGGAATCAGCCCTGAGTCCCCCTGCTGGGGAAGCACCTGTATTGTTAGTAGGGAGCCCTGAAACTCATGGTAAGTCCTTTCACCAATGAGCATTGGACTGGTTTTAAAATGTGTTTGGCAGGATTTACACTAATCTACTTAAGCTCTGGTTTTTCCTTGGGTGGGAGTCCATGACAGAGCAACCAAAGTTAGGAATGGTGTTGATCGTGGAACCAGCACCTCACAGGAACACGTTCATTCCCTGGTGAAGCAAATCCCGTCCCCTCCCTCTGCTCTCTAATCTACAAGTCACCTTCTTGTTCTCTGTCCTTGAGCACACTTCCTGACGTCCTCACCCTACAATCATCCCTCTCCTCACTGTATCCAGCTACTTCATCATGCTTCCTAATGAGCTTGTTTTCCATGACTCTCTCTCTCCCCGTGGTTCATTTCTATTGCGCCCACACTTCCTTCGTAATTACACAAGCTGTCCACGTACAGATTTTCCTGTTGGCACTGTGCATCCATGGAAGGAAGACTTACCTGTGAATGACCCTCCCTTCTAGTCCTGCCTTTCTCCTGGGCTTGTTTGGACAAGTCGCCCAGCCTCTCTTAGTAACATTCGTTCTGTACCACCTCGCACGTAACAGGAGCCTGGGTTGGACTTAAGACAATAGTAATTGTTCTTACATCTCCCATTTATGGTTTGCTCTGTGCCTCGTGGAGGCCAGGCTCTTTGTGAGCATGCTCACTGCATCTTCCCAAGAACACTGACATCCCTTGACTGTGATAATGATTCCACAATGTATGTATAGCAGATATCATCACATTGTACACTTTAAACATATACAATTTTATTTGCCAATTTTACCTTAATAAAGCTGGGGGGTGGGAAGGAAGGAAATGAATAGTTGGATAAAGGAGAAAAGGCCAACTTACTGATATTAAAAATAAAATTAGTGCAGGTAAGATCATGGGGCTTATCTATTTAACCAGTGTGCATAGGGAATCTGAGGCTCAGAGAGGTTAAGTTGCCAGCAATTGCACAGCTAAAGAGGTCCTGACTGGCTACGAACCCAGATCCAGCTCTGAAGTCCAGGCCCCAAATCACCATGCTACTATATTCATCCTATGAGAATCCACTTCTAGAATTTAGGCCTTTTCAAACTGTGTTGAAGTCTCCTACATGAACTGCCAATATAAATCCTGGTAACCTCTCCTTCCCTTGCCTCTTTGACAGTGATATTTTTTTCTATATGTTCCAATTTCTTTCCTGAACGTGGGAGAATTTAAGTTATTTTTTTTCAAGTGTAATTTTAATACGCATTCTAATATAGTACATTACTATTATGAAAAGTGTACTACTTGGAAACTTCAAGTAGCCTTCTAGAGTAACTTGTAATTATAATGAATTGTGTTGATGCAATGTATATTTTTACTGTGTATAATTTAACAAGTATGTGATGACTATCTAATTACAGTCTATAGTTCACCGAGTAATAGTTTACAATAATATTTCCTTGGTAGAGGTTATTTTTTCACATGAGATGCTTGTTTTATGTCTGCCTACAAGTGGCATAGTACTACAAATTGTGCATACAAATAAAGTCTTACTACAGAGACAGACTCCAGAAGCATAATCTGTTTCAGGGATACATCTCTAAAAATTTGCAGAAAAACTACATTCCTTAAACCAATCAAGCTGTGAACAAATTCATTAAAATCTTTTTGTCCTTTCAAACATCATAAGAATTATTCTGACGATACTCATGAGAGAAAAATCTGTTACTCAAAAATAAAACGGGAAAAAAACGTGAGTAGATTTTTGTACCTCTGCAAAACACACTGGGGGCTTCCCTGTGTCATTGAGCTTCAACTTCAAGAGCTAAGTTGAAGAACAGACATAGTAAGAAAGGAAACCCTATTGGCTCTACCTTCAGACTCTATACTGAGCCAGTCCACTTCCCACCACCTCTGTTGGCACCTTCTTGGTCCAAACCACCATCATCTCTCACCTGAATTACTGAAAGAGCCTCCTACCTGGTTTCTCTGCTTTTCTCTTTCCCTACTTCAGTCTCTTGGCAGCAGGGCAGCCAGAAAGACCCTGTTACAACCACAGGCAGACCAGATCTCCTCTGCTCAGCGCCCTCCAATGGCTCTCTTTTCGCTGAGAGGGAAAGCTGAAGTTGTTACAATGACCAATAAAACCTTACCCACTCTGGCCCCCAGGTGCCACTGTGGCTTCATCTCCTGCTCCCCTTCCTCTGCTCCTGCCATACTGACCATTTTGCTCTTTCACAAAAACAGGAGGCACACTCCTACCTCAAGGCCTGGGACCACCTGTTCCTCTGGAGAGTAACAAAGTTTACCTCCCTCGCCTCCGCCAGTAGTCTTTGTTCAAACATCACCTTCTTGGTGAGGCTTCCCTGGATCATCCAAACTTAATAACAACCCTCTCCTCCAATCAAATCGCAAATTCTGCTTTCTTTTTTTTCCCCATAGTACTTAAACCACCATACTCTATAATTTACTTGTATATGGTGTTTATTGGCTGCCTTCCCAATTGTCATATTCAAGAGGGCAGAGTCTTTATTGTCTTTTATTCATGGATATAGCATGAGAAACTGGAATTGTGCCTGGCATGTAGTAGCTGTACAAGTATTTGGTTTGCTGAGATTACTCAGGTATTTGTCTTTGTACTACACTCTTTCTTTCCTTCACCAAAATGACCATGACGAAATCCTGGCCTCCTGGAAATCTTGGATAATTTAAAATGCCATGCATTAAGAAATAGCCGAAAAAGTGATCTTTAAAACTACAGCCATATTCTTTGGGGTTCTGACATTAATATTGAAATATTCATCATGACATCTTTAAAGGTTCTCTGCCTTACTAAAATCCTAAAAATAATTTATCATCTCAAGGGCAAAATTAATTGAATTATTCTCTCTTCTTGAATCAAGAATTCAACTGATTGGCTGTTTTTCCTCATTTTGGTGTGCTGGCACCTACAAGCGGAGCTTTAATTTCATGATGAACTTTTAAACGCTCTTGTTAACTGCTCTCTCTGACATTTTTTTTTTTCAGGCAGAACGACCATGATTTCAGCAAGCAGCTATCTGACAATTGTTAAATATAATTGTTCAAGTATAATGAGCCTTACACTCTCCGAATGATCTTCTCTCTACAGTAAGAACTTCCTCAAATGATGTGAGATCAATGAAAATCAATGCTACAAAAACCAGTCCTTGTCTCTGAACAGTTCAGCCTAGGGGAGGAGACAAATTGGTAACTGCCTAGCCATTCTATGACATGCCAATTGCTATAGCAGATTCATTGAAAAGTGCTGTGGAAACACGGAAGAGGGCGTGATTTGGGAAAAGTTCCTATGTGATCATTGTAGATCTTGGTATTTTTTTCATTTAAAACTGCTCATTAAGCACTTGCTAAATTCCAGGCATTATGCTTGACCCTTGGGATGGAGACATGAGTAAGAGGTTGTCTTCTGAGAGGACCTACTGATGATTATGCTATTCATGCTGATCCTGCACGTGTGGCTGAAAACATTGATTCTTGGGGAAATGACCAATTGCAACTGGTGAAGTTTTTGGAGCATGCCTTTTCCATGGCGTAGTTGCTGGGCACTCAGCGTGCCAGGCACTGGCTCAGAGCTGCTGAATGGCCCATTCTCTAACTACTGGGTGTCTGGATGCCTGCGTGCTGGGGTGGACTGGCCGCTATCAGTTCCAGGAAATACTTTAACCAAATAAAGCACCCAAGACTTGCGACTAGTCTTGGTCATAATCTCTTCTTTGTCTGATCCTTTCATAATGTAACAAGATTTGTATGAAAGGGCTGAATGCTTCAGAAATACTTTAAAATCCTAATGTTGTTATGGTAAGAGGAAAAGACCTAAGAAAAATCAAGAAATGACTTTCAGCCATCTTTGATGAACATATAAAAATTGAGAAATTGACTGAGGATATCTGTGAATTCAGTCGCTCTAAGTTAATGTAGTAGCCAACAAGCAGGTTTTCATTACATTAAAGTTCATTGTGAAGTGCGTGTACCATGATGTAAGTGGTGTATTTAGCTATATGTGGATATAGTAAATTTGTTCTCATAACCATTAATATAGTTGAAAACTAACAAATAAAATTAACTCCTAATATAGTACTGTCTAGTATGTGCTACTCATATAATAAGTAATTCAATCACCTGAATGACCCCATGGGGTAGGAACCATGATTATCCCCATTTTACAAGGGAGGAAAGGTGCTGTGAGGCTCACTAGCCCAAGGTTCACAGCTAATAAGTGGCAGAGCCAGAATTTGGACCCAGGTGATTGGGCTCTAGATGACGGTACTGCTACGTTATATTGCCACACAGGTAAGATGGGGAGGTTAGCCATTATTAGACATGTTCATGGTTTAATTCATACATATTTTAGGAGTCTGTTCGTAGTAAGTGAATGTGTGCACTCAGAAATGTGTTAAGGGTAGAATACTCCAAATGTATAATCCTAATTTAGAAACATTGTGCCTTTTAAATGTTTGTTATCTATCATCTCAAAGCCTTAAAATAACTTCAAGAGTGACTCAGTGTGTGCTTAACCAAAATATTGCTAATGATGAAACAGCAAAACCTCAGAAGTTTTAATTACCAATCACCTACTAGAAGACACACCCTGCTAATTATATCTCTCAAAGTGGAGCCAGGAGTGTAGGCTATGGCACATTACTTTGTGGGGCACAGGGGATTAAAGGTGGTGTGAGCTCCATGTTCCTCTGGACCTAGAATTTAAATGTTGAATGGTATCATTTTGGAGAAAATCGCTTAATATTTTATAGCAAGGTGATTTTACAAGTAAAAACCTTCAAGAAGAGTTGATGTGATTTTAAAAATCAACTTAGATGCTTGCATTTTGGATTGCTCCACTCTTACTCTTCAGCACATCAACAGGTAAGACTCTTAATTCATTAGTTCCTTAAAAATAGGGAGTATAGTGAGTCACATCCAAAATGTGATTAACATGGACTTTGAAATACTGACTCTGTTTATATTTTGATTTTTGCCATAAAAGTATCTAAGGGAAATGCATTAATTTAGTAATACTAAATCTGATGAGTATATAACCATCTGTTTCCAATAATATAAAAGTTGCTGGATTGTCTTGTACTGAGCTCCCAGGTCTGTGCGTATTTGCCTATGGACTTGGTCCATAAGGTTCACGAGATAAATAGCTTATCTGTCAAAATCTTAATTTCTTCACTTCTAAGATAGATGTGTAACAGTAAATGAGAAAATACATTCATATTTCTGATTTCAGTACCTGATTCACTGTAGATGATGAATGAATGAATGAATGAATGAATGAATGCATAAGTAATGCCAATTGGAAATTCCAAGTTGAATTTTTCTATTTGGATCATGATTTCGGGAAGGGATTTTGGTCTGTGAACATTTCTTTTTTTTTTTCTGTGAACATTTCTGACCCGCTAACTCAATATTGACTTGCACTCTTTATATCCTTATGCATCTCCTATGTGTTGGTTGATTTTCTCTGTTTTCACCTCCTTGGTTCAATGGTGATCCTATAAGCACAACAAAAGTTAGTTGATATGTTTTAACCAAAAGAGAATCAAAGAATATCACACTGTTTTTAGTCTCTGCCCTCCAGCTCTGTCCTATGGGATAAAAGTGGATGGAGGTATTGTTAGTTCTAGTATATTCTAGGAAGTGTGCTCTATTTTCCATATTTGTCCTGCTCCCAAAACCAGCCTGATTTGAATGCTGAAAGCAGTTAGATTGATGAGCTCCAGAGCAGAGTTGAGTGAGTGACATTTGCCCTGGTCCATTTTCCTTTTTTTGCCACCTTCTTTCCTCTGGTGGTCTCTCCTCCTCCCAGGTTCGGGGCTTCTTTGTTATCTCTACACACAGCCCACCCCTCATAATCCTCTCTGAACAAGGATGAAAATATGTTTTATTTTAATCAGCAAACACAATCACCTACTATGTGCCGGGTGCTGTGTTAAGCTCCAGAGACACAGCTGTGATTGACAAGTCTTCTCTAGGCCCATCAGAAATGTATGCTTTTCAGTAGGGAGTGATTTCTGTTTGCAGGTTTATTGGATTGAACACAAACTGTAAAATGGCAGCTACCAAAGAACTGAATGCAAATGGACTCTGCTACAAATGTAATGGATGCCAATATAGGTAACAGTACAAATGTGATGTAGACTCAAATTTTTAATTATGGCAGCTCTGTAATGAATATATGTGTGCTGTACAAATATACACACACACATATATAGTCTAAATTTCGTATAACTGCCTGTTTTTAAATTTATTTGGAAGCTCTCTCCTCAGTTCCCTCCTTACTCAGTTTAAATCCCATGGTCCATCATAATCACTCCTTAGCATACACATTGAACTTCTCTCTGCTGCTTGGCTTCTCTTGGCTTAACCTCAATCCCGGTTAAATCCAACACTCCATCTCCTTTGTACAGCCGAATGGGCAGCTGAGTGTGCCTGGAGAAAACCCCATACCATGCAGACCGTCTCACTGCGAATTCATGGTTAATCAGGCTGAAAGGGACCTTGAAGCTGCCAAGCCATCTTACTCTTCTCCCCTCGTCTATTCATATGCCTGGCTTCCTGGATCGTTCCATTCTTCTCCTCTCTACTCAAACCTCCAACACCTCCCTGCTCACCCAGCTGATGGCCTGCATTCCTATTTCCCCCTTTGTAAGAAAATGGAAACAAAGAGAAGAGGCCTTCCTGGAGCTCCCAGTACCACATCTGACCAGCTACCTGCATGCACCTGCCCATACATTCTGCATTCTCTCTCACAAGAGATGAGCTGTCCTTGCTTCCACGAAGGCCAGCCCTTCCCCCTATGTATGTGTTACACATCTCCTCTCACCTGCTCAAGGATTCTACTCAACAATACTCTCTTCTATTTCTCCTGCCCCACCACTTTTCTTCCTCTTTTCTGGGACATTCCCCACAGCACACAAACGTGTTATTTCACCCATCTTTAAAACCCACTTTTGAGTTGTGTACGTGAGGTTTCTTATTTCTCCTCTCCTTCTTTTTTGAACTCACTCCAATCAGGCTTTCACCCCAGAAACTGCAATTGTCATGGCCACTAGTCACTCCCATGTTGACAAGCCAGTGGTCATTTCTCCATCCTCATTCATTTAGACTTAGCAGTATTTGGTACTCTTGATTGCTCCCTCCGCTAGCAGCAGGTTTTTTTAAGTTGGCTTCTAGGATGCCACATTCTTCTGGATTTCTTCCTGCTCCTCTGATGACTTCTTGGCAGTCTTCTCTGCTTCCCTCTCATCATCTTCCTGATGTTTTAATGATGGAGTGTCCTAGGACTCCATCCTTAG